GGTGTTTGATCTGGGCCTGCGCTCCCTTGCGTTGGCTCACCCTGCACAATTTCAGAGATGTAAGAGCCCCATATCAGAGAGCAAAAGAGGTAATCTGCCCTTTGATCTGCTATGTAAAATGTGCGCAAAGTACTTTGAGCAGTCAGTATTAGGGAGGAATGTGAAGACTTTTAGTATTAAAAATATATACAGCTTAACATCCTGACAACTCCCCCCCTTTAATGGTAGATAAGCACACATCGACATATTAAGGTAATATTTTTGCTTGTCTCTCAAATCAGCAGATTAAAGAACATGTTGCATTGCTTAAATTATGTTTTTAAAAAAGGATTATAGTAGAAAGTTTAATCCAAAAACAGAATTTCAACAGAATAAAGAACATTGACATTAGAGCTAGCATTCTGCCTGACATTTAGGAAAAAGTTGGTGTTTCTGTTATTTATGATCCTTACTCGTTCCTTCCTTCCTTCCTTCCTTCCTTCCTTCCTTCCTTCCTTCCTTCCTTCCTTCCTTCCTTCCTTCCTTCCTTCCTTCCTTCCTTCCTTCCTTCCTTCCTTCCTTCCTTCCTTCCTTCCTTCCTTCCTTCCTTCCTTCCTTCCTTTTCTGTTGTGTTATATTCACAATGACACTGACAGTTAAGAGAATATAGCTAACGACAAAACAAAAGAGACATAGTTCATCGGGGCTATATGTTATATTTAACTGCTCTAATAAAATAAGAGAAATAACACTTTATGTTCCTTCCACCAAGGAAGCTGTTCTTTCTCTTCTTTGTATGAAATCATAAAATCAGAATGCTTAATTATTATAAAAAGACTACCTGTTAAATGATGCATTTTCTTCTAAATCTGTAGCTGAGGGATAACATAAGCTCCACTGTGATGAAAAGCATTAAATCCCTTACTATTAAGACATATGGAAAATGAAATGAAAGAGTGAAAAAGATTTGGTTGATTAATCGTGGAGCACTAATTCGGGCTCTAAATTGCTCAGTTAAATACTTTTAGAAAACTCTCTTGGATTCAGTTCCAAAATTTGCTTTATTTTTGTGGATATGTGACCATCTATCACAGAGATCTATACTTCCACCGTCTTCCTCTCAGCTCAGCAGTGCACAGATAAACTTTCAGGTTATAAACTTCTCGCCTCAGTTGTACATCAGCTGAAATGCATTAATGCTCAGATGCAAAGGGGGAAGTCTGTTGGGGTTTATTTCTGTTTGTCACTAGCTGGTGATATGCGTGCAGCTTTCCTGCCTGTAGCTTCATTCTTATTCCACCCACCATCATATGCCAGAGATTTGAACAAGCTGGGTGTGTAGGGTGGAGCAGGAAGAGATAAGAATTGGAAGGAGAGTGAGGGTTTGAGGGCATGGGGTGAAAAACAAAAGAGATCGGAATAGGAAGAGAGAGAAAGAGGAAGCAAGGTCTGCCCTTGAGCTTGTTTGGCACTTTGTTTAACTTTCACATGCTTCTCCCTTTTCTACCCGCACTAATTTAATCAACAACAAAAAAGTTCTGAACCAGGTGGCAGTTCTGTGCTTCACATCAGGGCACTCTCTTGATATGTTGAGAGTGCTGTGTTTTTAAAAACAAATGAGGACAAAATGAAATAATATTGGATCGGGCCAAATATCATTAAACATTTGGCTCTGCTGTGTCTGCAGTAGTTGTGGCAATGATTAAACGGTATCCTCCGAACCATCAAAGCAAACATTAATAAGTCATTTAAACAATTCAACATCATCATGGAAAGCTGCCAACATCTGTACTGTTTATTATCTGTGCAGTAGTTTGCAATGTGCAACCATTTAAAAGTTTTTTTAAATCACAGTTTTAAATCAGTTTATGTTTTTCTTTATTTAAGAGGAAGTGTGTGAAATAGAGCTTGATAAAGTTTGTAATTTTCTTAATTCCTGATTTACTATCATATTTAATATAAGGTAATAACTGCAGGTAAAATATTTCAGCCATTTCAGCCTGGATAAATATACCAACTGGATAGTAAATCAGCCTCCTCAGTTCTAAAGCAAGCTAGATTAACATAAAATTACAATTTCAAAAAAATTCATGGCATAATGCCCTGCTCCTCGGTCACCCAAGAAACGTCAAACTTGTGATTTATTGTCGAGGAAACCTTCAATTCAAAGTCTCTCAAACAGTTTTATTTTTTATTCGTATTAAGAAAAACACCAAAGCTGTTGATGTTTACCACTGACTTTAAAAGGTTAATAACAAGGAGAGCTGTAGAGAGCTAAACAATAAGCCATTGTAGTGATAAGTAAGTAAATATTGTGAGCTTGCCTATGAAGCTGCTATAACTGCCAACTTAATCGTTTAATTCTTGGAAAAAAAGAACAAAATCCTAATAAAAACAGTAGCCACCTTAAATGCTTACGTTACCCACGATAGCCTTACAGTCGGAACAGCCCCTCTTTTAAGTAAGTAAGTAAGTAAGTAAACGTTATTTGTATAGCACTTTTCACAGACGAAGTCACAAAGTGCTTCACATGATAACATAAAAACAACACAAGTAAAAACAGATAAAATGCAATAAAAGCTAAAATAAATAAGTGAATAAAACAGTAAGCTATGTGCTTTGGAAGGCTAGTGAAAACAGGTGTGTTTTTAGCTGCTTTTTAAAGATATCCACCGAGTCCAGAGAGCGCAGGGACAGGGGGAGTTCATTCCAGAGACGGGGCGCCACCGCTTTAAAGGACCGGTCTCCTCGGGTTTTAAAACGGGTCCGAGGAACCATAAGCAGCTTTTGACCTGAAGACCTTAGGCTACGGACCGATGTATACGGCTGGATCAGACCTCACATGTAGCCAGGCGCCCGTCCATGAAGGGCCCTGAAGGTGAGGACCAGGATTTTAAAATTTATCCTGGAAGCAACAGGAAGCCAATGTAGGTAATACATTTGCTTTACTTTTCACTAAAAGAAGTTTAGCAAATCCTGCTTTGAACTGTCCAAGATTTCGAAAGCTGTCTTCTGTAAAATGCTTAGAACAAATGAACAGCTGAGCATCAAACTTTGCAGGGATCTTCTGATAGACAAAAATAATCCATGCCTCTTGAGTCTTCGGATCCTTGGGAAGAGTGTAAAAATGTTCCCCTTTACGCCCGTGGTTCTGGTTAATTTTCAATAGAGAAACTGCCCGTTTTGTAATTCTTGTAGAAGTAAAACCCAACTGTAGGCTAAACAGCTAATCTAGTGTCTTCTACCTATATTCATGTTCTTGGGCCAGAGACCGGTGCGCTGGTTTGTATGTCAATTTCAGGGCTGACAAAAGTACAGGCCAGAACCACATAAGGCAAAATCCCCATATTGATGTCAACTCGGTGCTTCGTTTGAAGCTACCCGCTTTATGGTGGAAATTTAGAATTGTGAGATTTGCAGAGAAAGGAGGTGTTGATGGGGTTTGAACTTCTGTGTACATCCATTTCATCCACTGAACTATCGTTATTCATCTATGACAAGGTAAACTTGGTTTTGACCCCCTTAAAGGTTTGTATTTAATGTATAATTCTCCTCATTTAACATGCTGTGTAGAATTATGGGTATTAACTTACAGAAATATATTAGAAAAGATTGTGTTGCAGCAAAAAATTGCAATAGGTTTTACAAATAAAGTAGGTTTTTGTGACCATACTGTCCTCATCTACTATGTATAAATTCAAATATAATGGCATTTAAAGCGCTTGTATATTATAAAATAATGAAATGAATGTACAAATTAACAATTAATGTACAAATATAATTTTGGAGATAAAACTAAATTCACCTTACAAAAATGAAATCAAAATAAATGTATTTCTATTGCTAGAGTCAGATTGGAGAAAACTGCTTATTCAGAGTTAAAGTTATTTACATCCTTCCTTAGTGTCAAAAAAGCTGTGTGTCACTGTTATATCATTGTAAGTATATTTTCTGATATCATTACTGAAAAGTTTCTTATATTTATTTATTTTTTTGTAAGAGGGCAATAATTTAGATATCCATGTTTGCCCTGCATTTAGCTCCATCCACAATCTATCAGCTCTTACTACTGTAGTTTCCCTGTCTGTGAGGAAGAAGAGCATCCCTGCAGAATGATGCTGCTAAACTTCATCCTGGGGATGTTGTGTTCAGGGTAAAGGGTAGATCTAGTTTCCTGCAACACATAGCATTTTATATGTAGGCTGAAATTTTTGTTTTAAACTGCTCTAACTAAAACACCCTCTCCCAAAGTTTTTTTTTTCTCTTTCACCAGTTATCCAGGTAACAGAGTCTCCCATTTGATCTGAGGATCTATGCAACTCCTCATGAGCATGAAACGTCTGGCTGCTCCTCAGCTGGATTCCCACTTTGTACGTCCTGTTAGTGCAGATGGGCTAACATGCATTCACAGGTCTGCGGCTGTGGAATATTCCTTCTATTTTAGAACGGCAGATTTAAACCATTGCTACACGAGATGTTTAATGCTGTCAATGTAATTTTATACCTTTCCAAAAGTTCTCATTCATTCTTCTGGAATATCGTTTAGTCTATATGATGTTTTTAATTTGCATTTATGTTCTCTAATACAAACCTCCAAACTGCACACTAAACAGTTAACATTCTTAAGAGTTTATTTTTCACACAGGTGGAATGTTTTTGGGGGAATCAATTAAAGGGACTTAATGCATAACTACACCATACAGTACTTTTTATTTTTATTGCAAAACATCCCCATATATTTTGCTTCCACTTCATAGATCATGTGCTACAGTAGTTTGTATCAGTTTTTCACTGAAAAACTGTAGGAAACTATAGTAACCTTAATGGTTGTAAAAGTAGGGAATATTTTTTCAAGATGCTTTGGATAATAACTATCATCCTCCTTTTTAGATTAACAACAGTATTAAGAAAGAGTAAATCAAATTAAAAGAGCAGTTGGTGTATTTCCTTCAGCAGATGGATAATCATTTCAGTTTCAGTCCTTATCCATTTACTGAGGAACAGACAGTATCTCTACTCACAACATAGTAGCCATCAGGGACTTTGTTGAGAGAACTAAGTACTCCAACTGCAGAGATGGGGTCCATTGGCAGCTTGTTGCTCTCTTCAGACATTATGGCGATCTGTTAGAAAGGCAGATGAGCGGCTTAATATATTTCTGCATGCAACTGTGAAAATATACAATATTATTTCCCTTTTTTAAAAATACAAAACAACTAGAATGTAATAATAAATAGAATAGTAGTAGCACAAAATGTGAAAGAAAATGAGTATTACTTTGTTTACAGTGCTGACCTGCAGGATGGAAGGGGTCTTTTTAAGTCTAAATGGCTACATTATTGACTTCTTGATGAGGCCTATTAGGCTCCAGAAGAAAAAGTGGCCGCCTAATCTAGGATCAAATGACAAGTGGGACGAGTGACAAAACAGCATTCGGTCTGACTTCACCAAATCACAGATTAGGGGGGAGTGATCACATATTTTCAAGGAAGTCCCAATCAATTGCTATCTATTTCTGTCTAAGGGAATTTTTGCCTAATGGATATGCGAGCCTTTTTACTGGGTAAGTGGCTTTGCAAAGGTTCTCTTATGCAGTTTTATTAGATTAGGTCTAAAGCATTCTTGCACTAACTGACAAAGTTGCAGCATTCAATCTTTATATTTACAAAATCCATTGCAATTAAGCTGATCAAATTAGAGGATTTACTCCAGAAACATGCTGTCTCGTTAACAAATGCTAGATAGCTGTACTTATTCAAATGAAACCGAATGGTCATTTAGCCAATGGAATGAAAGATATCTTTGTGAGTTTAATTTGTTCAAATTAAACTTTTTTTCTTCCAAACCCAAATAAGAGCTCATAGACTGAAAAAAAAAAGTTAAAGAAAAAAAACAACCTTTAAACGTAATCCTCTGTCTTCAGGAGATCGAAGATAGTGATGTTATTTAAGGATAAAATAACAAACAAAAAAAACATAGAAAGTCACTGTTTCATTACACTTTATAGAATTACAACAATGTGACCTTTCAGCTACAGTTTTGTTTAGCCAATTTTAGGCGGGCTGAAGCCTCCAAAGCTCTAGCAAAATAGGTGAGAACAAAATGCAGACATTCATTTAAAGAAGAGAGAAGGAAAACTTTACATCTGTTTACATTTTATCAAAACTAATTATCATTCAGTCAGATTAATTGTGCAATTATTTGATGAATATGATCATTCTCTTTGTTTTCAGGTAAAATCCTGGGATGAGGGTAGACTTTCGTTTCATCATAACTTTATTCACCTCAACCTTTTTTAATTTTTAGCACAAACTCAACATGTTTTCATCTAAATAGTAAGCAGCTCATAACTGTTTAAGGCAAAACAGATGTGAATAGATGGAACCCTTTAAATGATCTATACCTTATAATAAATTAACTTCTGAAGCCTATATGACATGGGACTGTTTAACTAGTCGATCTATATCGTAATCTATAGCACTGCGTGGTATGATATGCATATATATATATATATGTATATATATATATATATATATATATATATATATATATATATATATATATATATATATATATATATATATATATATATATATATATATATATATATATATATATATATATATATATATATATATATATATATATATTTTTTATGCACTAAGAGTTTCAACAACAATTACAACAGTAGGGAGGGTTTGTAGTCTGTAGGAGACCTTGGTCAGAATGCATCAGTCTGGTTAAGCTCCAGCCATTGGTTGACTCTGAGTTACAGTTTCAAAACAAACCAGCCAATTCCTTTTAGTCATTCCCTCCCAAATGATCCAAGTTACAAATGCTTCTCTGAATATGCTTGGTTTAATGTATGATATTTTAAGTAAGTTTATGATGAGCACATTAATTCATTGCATTGCAGGGATTTGTTGTGTACAAGAGCCCAATAATTTACAAATACACAGACTGCAACTAGGGGCTTTTGACAGAGGGGGCTGGCAGAAAACACTTCCCCATCTTTTAAAGCTGCAAAAAGCTGAATAAATGTTAAGATAGATTTTGATTAATTAAAGTGATGGCTTTCATTAAATGTGCAGCTGACCGTACCTATTTGACATTTCCATTGCAATCATATTAACTGAGAAAATAGTTCTGATATCTAAATTTGGCACATTTTTATTCATAATAATAAGTGCTGCTAAATTTAAACTGACTGATTTTGACATTTCCTGTAAGGCAGGTAACCTCATCATTTTTCTTCCTTCCGGTATAACCCTTAGAGGCCTATGTCTGTTCATTTTCAATTAATTCCAACCATGTTTAACACTTTGATTCTTTTTTTTTTTCATCTAAAAATGTATCTTTAAAAACAACGTTATTTAACCGTATTTATTTTCTTCTCGGTATGCACTAGTTGGTACTTAAAGGTATAGAGAACAATCTTTTATTTTGGATGTATCATCTAAATAAGTGGTCATTCTAATTGTCAATGATTCTGGTGATATGTTTACATTAGGCCATCCTACAAGTCCCCAGTAAGCTATCTTTTGTGCACATGTGTACTTTAAGGGGTATATCTGTCGTGAGCTACGGTTTCAGACAGTCATTGAAGCTCGCCTTTCTCACGGTTCGTTGAAAATGGCTGTGGGGCGTAAGATAAAAAGTGTCTACAAAGAAAAGAAAGGCCTCAGAAGAGGCAGATATATCCTGGAAAGCTTTGCGCAGAAAGCTCTCCTTGCAAAGCATTATGGGATTTGCTTTCACAGCAGCCCGCTGATGCTAATCAACAGTGGCAATTAATAACAAAGATGGCACAGGCACTGCGTGGTGGAGGAGGAGTTACGTGACCAACGGAGCAAAAAGCAGTGATCATCTGTCCGAACAGTCAGTTAACGGAGTTTGCTATAAAGTCCACCATATAGTCCCCACTCTATATAGGGACTGAGGGATTTAGGGGTTAAGGTGGTTCAGGCACAGTAAGCGTGTATGAGCTATGAAGACAGCAACTTCTAAACAAGGAGAAATGGGGTTGTACATGCTCCTGCATGCACAAAGGATGTTTTTTTTTTTTTAATTGCGAAAATCCTCAACGATACCTTCAATATAAAACTTAAAAATCTAAATGGTGTCATACACAAAAACTATGATCATTTACTGTCAAACAATTAAGTAATCATGACTAGTTTTTAGGAAGATTTCCAGAATAGATTGAATGAATCATGGTAACCACATATCTATTAATTAGAAGAAGATCTGGTTTAGTAAAATGTTTTGGGAACAATGCACTGTATTTCCATCCTATTGATCTCAGTGACTTTTACTAGTGTTGTGTCATTTACCAACTCCGGTCTGCAAGAATAGGCCACTGGCTACATAATAAAAAATACAGTAATTTCATACAATGGAAAAATTACATTATACACAGTTTAAGGCTATAATAAAAATTGGTAAATGTGTCTATGTCAGTATTGTGCTTATTTAGCTTCCTTAAGGTTTAGCATATAAACTTCTATCCACACTAACTGGTCACAAAGGTTAAACTTAACGTCAAATAAATCCCCATGCAGCTTGCTTCCATATCTTTACCTTTTCAAATATGAAGGTCTCACTTCGCTGAGTATTTTCACCTAAGCACAACGGTGTTCTGTGTCATGAAAACTCGAACACTCAAGAAAACTTCCGCTGATCCTTTTTTGGTAATCATTAACCTTAAAGTCCACATGGTGACATCACAAAAATCTACAGCCCAGTTCAAAGTCTCTGTTGCTATTCATCTTCATTACTTGCCTGGAACAGAAAAGACTAGTTAACATGTCAGTTTTCTTTGTTAAACCTTTGGTGGCTTTATTTCTTTGCCATAACTTATCCGGTCTAATTATTAGAGTAACTAAATTTGCGGTTGCCCTGCACTTTGACTCTCATTACATAGATATATCTACGGGTCGAGCCTCCTGACAGCTGCTTGTCTCTCTAAAACTTATCACATGTCGTTGTTCTAATCAGATAAAAGTAAGACAGAGCAATGTATTTACTTAAGCCCTTACATTATTAGCTTAGTCGTGCATCTCCCTGAGCACAGAAGTTAAAAGCCTCTTTGTAGACTCACTAAAAGGCCAGCAGGCAACAGATGCTTCCCCATCATCAGGTTTATTATTTGTACCATCACTACACCAACGATACAATCTTTCAGTTAATTAAAATCTGAGACTTGCTGCTCTGTTCTGTTACAAGGTGCCATATGCTGGTATGTTGTTTCTTCTAGGGCTAAAAACTGGGAGCAGAATTTCCTTTGTTCTACTTTTTTTTATACATGTTTTATGCTTTTGTGTGACTTTCCCACATTTTATCAAAAAATGACAAAGGTAAAACATCCACACGTATTCATAAATATGGATTTACATATGGATGGATGGATGGATGGATGGATGGATGGATGGATGGATGGATGGATGGATGGATGGATGGATGGATGGATGGATGGATGGATGGATGGATGGATGGATGGATGGATGGATGGATGGATGGATGGGTTGGTGGAATGATTCCTTGCCAATGTCAATTGGAGCCATCTTTTTGGGCTGTTCAAAACATGTAGGCTAAAGAAACAGATAATCTAAAGGTAAAACAACCAAAAGGGGAATTATCATGAAATGCCTTGTTAGCTCACATTTTTTAAAAGTGTAATCTTTATCTATAATTGGAAACCCCCACCCACTACATGCCCCTTTCATGCTAATGACTTGATTTTTTGATTGAGGCGTGTTAAGGCAGAAACACATCTAAGAGGGACAGGACACCAGACCTTGAGGACTGGAGCTGAAGACACCTGACCAAGCAGTTCAATAACCAATACTACTTAAATCCCAGAATTGGACGATGCAGTTGTAAACTATTTATTAGTACCTAATAATGTATTTGATAGTTATAAGTTCATGAAAGTACAAAAGCCCCTAGTAATCTTCAATTAAATTAAATTCAGTTTTATTTATATAGCAGCAACTCTCAACACATTTACAGGAATAATTCTTTACAGAGACAAATCCTACAGACAGATTTGTTGAGCTCATTCTTCGTGACACTCACTTTGCAGAATTCCATCCTTCTTGATGAGCAAGTGGGTGCCAAAGAAATTTGGTTGTATTGTGTCATTCATTTGCAGCAACCCTTCACCTTGAGCACATATACAGCGACAGTGGAAATAAAAGACTCACTTTTAATAGAAAGAAACCTCCATCAGAACTGGGTGTAAGACTGGGTTCAAGAATAGAGTAATAGACACTCAACAGGAATATAAATGCAATAATCTGTGAATACTTCTGTTGTTAGAAAGAGTAATTAGGTCCATAGGTGACTCAGTCTAGGAAATAAACAGTTCAGCAGATGAGCTCTGAGCCAGTTTTCATGGCAAAAAGGATGAAAGAGAGCATTTACAGTTAGTCACAGTAGACGTTGATCCCATGGATATGTTTAGGAGAGAAAGATGACCAAGCACTAAAGACTAGGCCCAACTATATTATCTATACTGTAAGTTGTTAATGGCGGCAGCTCAGCTTATGACTCCCTCCCGGATGGTGTCATTGCTTAACAGAGCACCAGGCTACCTGAAGCTACACGGATGAGAAAAAGCAGAGAAACATAAAGTTAGGGGTTCAACTAACAAATAATGCAGAATTGAAAAATAGACAAAGAATGAAGCAGAAAGTGGTCCCCATGTCCTCCAGCAGCATAAGTCTCTAGAAGCATAACTATAAAGATTGATCACGATAACCTGTGCCATTCTAACAATATGTTTTTTTTTTTTAAAGGAACGATTTAAGCCTAGTCTTAGTGTAAAAAGGGCGTTTTCCTCATTGATTAAAGCAATAACAATTAAAATTGTTATTTCAGTGTTTGAAAAACATGGTTAATAGTAGTTTCCACCACAACAATTAGCAAGCAACACTAAATGTCATGCAACTTGACCAAACTCAGTTTGAGGGTGCCATGATTTCTAGTTATACGTTTTGAATTTTTAGACAACCTGAAAGAAGTATCAACCTCATAGTTTGAATCAAAGAACTGATTTTTATGTACGAAGTAAAATCACAAAGTTTAAGCTTCTTTTGTTTGATTACAAATTCTCATATGTGAAACAGGAGTTATAAAATGCAGGCACATCTGCTTTAAGTCAGACTAATTAAGCCGGGGATAGTATCTGGACATATGAATGAATGGCAGGAAAACATTTATAATGATAGCACCCTGCTGCCATACTGTTTTCACATACTGTACAGCAGCTTAGGGCTGCTTATCATCACTGATGCTACGTTCTATGGCAAACATGAAAAGGATCTGCTTAAAGAATTACTTCTTCAATAATCTCACTTCCTCGTCTGCATTTGCACCCAATGTCATCACCCCCACCCTCATCCCCACCTCGCACACACATAATCCTACCAACACATGCTACCTCATCAAGGTGTTGACGACACGACGAAACAGGCACTGTTGAGAGCAAAAGAGATAAAAGGTGTGTGCTGAAAAGAATAAAAAAATACAACACAGACGCTCGCTTACTCTGACTGAGAAGAGGTGCTCCTGCCAGAGTAATGGTCTAATTATGGAAGAAGTGATGAAACGCTCATTGAGAGTGGAGTTATCAGCAACACATGCTAACTGTGAAAATCATCAGCTTTTACAGTGTTTTTAACGGGCGCCATATCGCACGCTGAGGATTGTAGGGTAAGATGAATGATGGCTGTGGCAGATTTCAGCAGGGGTCCTGATAGCAGGAGGGGCGGGTGTTAGGGTTGGTATTTTGAAAAAGATTCATTAGAGACATTTTTAACTTCTGTTTAATAACAGCATATTTCAGTAAATTTGGACCCTTCTTACTGTAACACTAGAATATCTTGTCCTGCTCAAAACGTTCCATTAGTCCTTAGTTATAATTAACAGTGGGCAGGCAAGTACTGTGACCCAAAATTCTACCTTTTCCAAATATATTCACATATAAATGATGAAAAAAAAAAAAGAAAGGTCCATTTTCAGTGTCTAAAGGTCATTTATTGCAATCTGTAATTTGCTGACACCATTGTAGAGACTGAAGATGGAAATTTCTCTGCTGCTACCCCAAGAGTAATATTATCTCTATCTCAACTTGGGAAATCTACACAGCCCCAATGTCACCCACATGAACCCATTATGGGCTATGTAAAAATCTGCAGGTCTCATTTTATACCAAACCCACACCCCCCTCCTGTTCTTCTCACTTTTCTCTGTCTACACACAGAAAATCCAAATCCCTGTGTCTCCTGAATGGCTTATAATAACCAGCTTTAAAAAGCCTACCCTTAGTGCCCCCCAAAGAATACAGCCTTGCAAGGCTCTATAATGTCATGCTTCTGTCTAATTAAAGGTCAGTTTGGTCTGGTCTCATTGTCGCTCTGGCTGGGAAAATCCTCTGAAACATGATGGATCGTCGAAATGTGATTTCATTTTACATTCACACCATCTGTTTTCATCACCAAGACTCTAAGAGTTTGAATAATGTCTGAACTAAGATGTTTATTTTCTAATTCAACAAAGGGGAGACTAAAAACATTTATAATTTGTCTCTTAAGCGTAGAATTCAATACTTAAAGAAAACCAAATGTTTTATCTAAATTCTACTGTGCTATTTTGAGCTTTTTCATTTAATGTATTAGGCAGTTTATTTCCCCAGGCTTTCTCTTTCTCTCTTAGTTGAAGACGGCGGTCACCTCACAACCTGGACAGTCCGCTTACTGCCACCACTTTTTTATTTCAATTAAAAAGATGTGCACACATACACATACTTGTCTCTTTATATTTGCTGGGCCTTTGCATTGACTTCCTCGATTTTCTACAACTTTACCATTTACCCTTGCCCTAAACCTAACCAATGCTCACCTTATGGACTACATCAGGCATCCCCAACCTCGGTCCTGGAGGCCCGCTGTCCTGCAGGTTTTAGATGTTTCCTTGCTCCAGTACAGCTGATTTTAATTGAAGGCTGATTAACAGGCTTTTGGTCTACTGCAATCATTATAATCAGCTGTGCTAATGCAGGGAAACGTCTAAAACCTGCAGGACAGCGGGGCCTCCAGGACCGAGGTTGGGGATGCCTGGACTACACGATGTTTTAAGAACAAATGCACACACACTGACATATGTTTTCCTTGTTTTCATCTTTTATTCTTAATGAAAAAAAAGTCACATTCCTTGTGTGTGGACACAAATTGTCTATTGAGGCTGATTCCATTTAAGGTTCTGGTCATTTAGAAAATCAAAAAGTTATATTTTCCAATTAAAAAACAACAAAAAAGCAAAGCTCCTATGTGGTATGCATAAAATAATATGTTTCAATGGTTTATTTTGGCTCAAATTATTTAAATAAAACTTTCTTGAAATCTATGCATTATATTTTGTATTGAGAATTGTTTTTGGTACAGAAATAGCATTTAAAAGTAAGTGAAGCTACTTTATTGTATAAGCACTTGAAACTTTTTAGCAACACTCTTAGAATTTCCAAAGGGGATTTAGGTTAAGAACTTAATTTATCATTTTTCAGCACCATGGTACAATGTGTCCTACAGCAGGTATTACGGTTACCGAGCCCATACCGAAATGGTAAATGGCCTGTACTTATATAGAGCTTTTTCAAGTTAGAGGACTTGACCAAAGCACTTTACACTACATTCAGTCATTCACCTATTCACACACCTCAGTCATGTAGACC